TTATTATTGCTGTGCAAATGTTTGTAAACAAACTAGCCAAAAATGGGCTCACCTCAAAACATGGCGTTCGTCTATGTGAATAATTGCTTACTTAAACTTAAAACTTTTCAGCATTATTCACAATTGAGTTTATATAAAGTATGTCGCATTTAGCTCTGTCTTATGGGTACTCTTTTCTGGAAGTCTATTTTCTAAAACCAAATCACTCCGAATGGTAACCTATAATATTCCCCACTTGTACAAGTGAATAATTCTGTAACTATAAGTATTCAAACATGGGAGTCATTTTATCTTTAGAGTTTATTCGCATAAATCTATTTTGATCATCTCATCCTAGATGTCTTTCCATTATTAGCGTAACTGAAATTTTAAGTATTAACATTTTTATCAAACGAAGCCTCTTTCATCGCGACAGCCCTTTTATTTCCCTAGTAGTTTGTTCATTCTACTGAAAAAATAGACAAATTGACCTTTGGATTTTCTCTCAATGCCTTCTTAGGAAACAGAAAGGCAACTCTACTGTCAATATTCATCCTTTCCTCTTCTACCTGTCACTGTATTACCTATTTCTTCATACCTTTTTCATCTATTCGATCTTATTTCACATTTATCTCCTGCTACATTTATTAACTATTAGGCCGAAACTGCTGAAGAACGCCAGGCTCGAGGACACCCTACGGGCCAGTCCACAATATACCAGGCAATGGGTGGTATCACGGGGTTCAGTTCCTTGCTATCGGGTCATGCTCGCCTTGACGCTTCTGGTAGTGGAATGCCAGAGGATCTAGAAAAAGATTCTCCAATCACTAACAATGATCACCCCTTTCTACGATCCAATGCAATGGCCGTTTACCAGCACAAGTTGACCAACAATGACCCTGAAGGCAAGTTTACTTAATTACAACATTTTAAAAACTGATAGCATTCGTAAGGCAGGGGGCTTAAGAATATTTTTTTATAAGCTCAATCTATTAAGCATGTGAGACTCTTTTTTTTAGCTTAACATATATGTTGGTATAAGATTAAGATGATGTTTGTGGACTTTATAATAAATAATTCGAATATTCTTGCCATCTTCGGCCGGCTATTTTATTATTTCCTTTCTGCCTCCAAAACTTTAATATTTAAAAGTCTTTTAGGATTCCCTTGTTTTGGAGAATGGATAAAATTGACTCAATTGGTAATTTTTGTTTTTTCCATGCACTTTTTGTTGCCATAGTTTTTTCCCCTGGTGAGTGAAGAACGCTGCATGTAATATCGACAAACAAATTCAATTTTTACAAATATATCTTCTTTATGGACATAATTTTCCATTTTGAAGGAAAAATTAGTTAAATGGAATTTGTGAATTGATCTCACTAGAAACCGAAGGAGGATTACCGCAGAGTGAAGATTGTTGGATTTTGCAAAGAAGTCCTAGGCCCACCGTCCTGCGAGGAAGATATGCAAGGCTTTTATCTGATATGTGATAGACATCGTCAGAGCGAAAAGCGTACTTTATGAAAAAACGCACTAAATACAATAAGCTGAGAAAAAAATGATTCGATGCAATCACGCTCACTACTTATACCTAAGTTTGCGATCCTAATGAGGCATCCTATGATTTGGTTGGCTATTTAATGCCTAACATACATTCTTGTGTCCGGGGCAGGTTGATGCATGAAATTAGGTGGATGTGTATACAGCTATTTTCAGGCCTAAGTAATTAAATGCATGATTTGCAATTTTTTTAAGTATGTGCTATTGTATAATGTTTGTGTGTGGAAAATTATGTGAAGTGTAAGAGTCTTAATCAAACTCGAAGCCACTCAAGCCCCCCTCTTACTTATTGGTTCTTCAGCCCCCATCCTCCTGTCTTTTGTTAAGTCTATCCAACAGCCAAAATAGTTCCTGCACACATTCCTACATTAACTTCTCCCATTTAAGATATTTACTATGCTATCTATCTCTATAAATCCTTTGATTGTGTTCATTTTCCTCTACAGTTATCTGCTATTCACTCAATTTTCCATAAAACCATTGAGCCTAACCTTCAGATCTTCTTTAGGTTCTTAGCTAAAGCCCTCAATATTTTATAGTCCTCTAAAGCCTGAAACATTTTATCCATATATTCCGCCCTATCCTAACTTTCCTTATAATGCTATTAAAAGTTCTATTCTTATAAGATATTTCTACAAATAAAACTACTTTGAAGGTATGAAGACCAAGATGGTGTGGCTTT